ATGGAGAAAGCGACCGAATCCGAAAAGGTCCATAAAAAGTGATGCATTTGATATTCAAGAACTGGCCGATAAGTTGCATCTCGGCTCCAAGTTCTACCTCGTCGGCATTGCCATGGGAGCTTATCCCGTTTATGGCTGCCTTAAATATATTCCACACAGGTAGTTAAAAAAATTAAAAAAATAAATAAACATCTTATTATTTATATTTAATTGTTCACTATTGGTAAATAAAGGCTATCAGGAGCAGCCCTCATAGTTCCGTTTGTGAACTACTGGTGGAAGTGCTTTCCGTCGAAGCTATCGAAAGAAGCATTGGGAACATTGCCTCTCTCGGACCAATGGACATTTCGAGTTGCCCGTTTTGCCCCTTGGCTGGTCAACTGGTGGATGACTCAAAAATGGTTCACGTCTCTTAGTATCATGCACGGCAAACTCGATATATTTGCCCCCTCGGACCTTGAAATCATCAGACAGTTGTCCGCTTCTCCCAGAGAGGGTCAGGTAAAATTTTCATTTTCCGATTTCAGAAAAAACGGAAGAAGATATTATTACAGCAACCAAACAAGGCCTTAAACCAAGATATAATTAATTATTAATTTCCTATTGCTATAGGAGAAGGTGAGACAACAAGGTGTTCACGAGTGCTTGCACCGAGACTTGATCGTGGGTTTTGGGAGATGGGGATTCGATCCGACGGACATCGTTAATCCTTTCGCTAACAACGAAGGGTGTGTTCATATTTGGCAAGGAAACGAAGATAACTTTATACCGAAAAAGCTGAGCAGGTATTTGTCGGAGAAACTTCCGTGGATTCAATATCATGAGGTTCTTGATGCTGGCCATTTCTTGATTTACAATCAAACGAATTGTGAAGCCATCTTTAAGTCACTTCTCATTTGTAACAACACATAAAGCCAAAGGTGTACACTTTTTTTTTATTGCTAATAAATGGCTTGTGTTGTTGTTGTACATATTGAACTATGTAGTAATTTGAATAAAGCTTTTATGTGTTTTTTTTTGTTTGTTGAGACTAAGTTTTAGTTTAGATTTTAAACTTTTAGACTTAAAAAGTTTAAAATAGGTTGTGAGTTCCAAAAAGGAATTATCACATTATTTGATTCTAAAAAAAATAAATCATTGCAATGTAGCACGGAAACGGAACGACGATACGAGAAAATGGAAAAATGGACATGGGAAACGGCATGTCCAAAAAATAGGGATACGGTATGGGAAATGTGTAATGTTAAAAGTGTGTGTGTATATATATATATATATATATATACATGTATATGTGTTTGTGTGTGTGTGTGTGTGATTTTTTTAATACATTTTCACACATATATGTTCAAAGTATATATTATTATCAACTATCAATATGCAATTGATCCTTAAAACAAGTAAGTAATTAGGGAAATAATATTTTTATTTTTTTAATTCCCTATTCAAACAAGGTGTTTGGCAGGTGTCCTAGAGGGTCGGACACGAACTGTGTCCGAAACACAGATACATTAAAAAATTGAAGTTTTCGTGCTATATATATTGTAACAACTAATTTATTAAATTTCTTATTTTAATAAACACGATTTAAGATCTAAATTATCACACGAAAAAAAAAAAAGAAGCAAAAATTAATAAAATGTAAAATTTTAAACTAATATTAAAATCCTTTTTTTTAATGAAAAAGTTAATGGAAAATCTTGTCCAATAATTCACAGCTTTGTCATAAGAAATAAAAATAATAGGCTAGGCCATGAAACAGTTAAAACACCATTATTGAGTATAAATTGCCTCTCTGCCAACCCCAAAAGACATCTCTTTTTTTTTTTCCCCTAATTTATTTTATTTCCTATAAATTGAGTTATCCTTCCCCTCAGGTTTTTCCTTAAACCCTTCCATTAATTTGCTCCCTCGATTTCTCCGTCTTCCTTTTTAGCGTATAAAAATAATCGAGCAGAGCCAGAAATCAGTTTCGAAACCCTTGTTTCTAGATCCGATCTCCACTCTCTGTAAGCCTTCATTTCACTCTTTACCCATAAATTCTGTTTATTATTTTGTGTAATCTGTACGAACTCTTTGTTAATTGATTCGCTGAATTTTGTTTTTCTCTGTATTTGAATTCCAAATCTCTAGCTGATTATAATTCTTTGTCGCGCGCATGTGTAGGCATCAGTAAGTTGATACATGAATTCAGCCTTGAATTATTTTAATTTTCGACTCATTAATTGAAATTGATTGTAGTATAGCGTTTTGAGGGATTTAAATGTTTGTATAATTTTAAGTTTGAGGGTCGATCTGCAAATTGTTCCTGAATTTATATTTATATTTTTTGTTTTTTTTGTTTTTTAATTTAAATCTTGTTTGTATGATTTGAGTACAATAATGGATATGCTGCGTCGTAGAATTTTGGTTTTTCGTTTAACAATAGAATTGCTGCACTTTGCTCGTTTTCTCGACATTGTTTGCTCTGACATCCTCGTATTATACAGTCTTGAATGTTGTTGAATAATTTACGGAGCTTCGAGTGAAGTGCAAATAGCAATTGGCTTGCCCTTCTCATAATGCTCCAAACATTTAACCGCTTTGTTGATTGGCGAATGGACGATCGCTATTCGTTCGTTTTTTTTGTATCTTCAACAAGGCGAACATAACCGAATCTACTTTCATTTATATACTCTTGAAGCACTTATTTGGTTTCTTCTGATTCTGATATAATTCGATTTGATTTGATATCGATGTATTATGATGTTGTACTTGCACGAAACTAAAATTCCTAAAAATCCCGTTTTTTTTTAATAGGAGAACATGGCAAGTGCACTACTCCCCTCAAGCTGCACATTTAGAACCAATCCTCGAAGCGTGCGGCCCACAAGTGCGCTTTTCAAGAACCCGGTTTCAGTGGGGCCCGTAAAGAGCGTATCAAGAGCTTTCGGGCTGAAATCGAAGCCCAATTTCAGGGCATCCGCAATGGGGGCCACATACAAGGTGAAGTTGATCGGATCGGACGGTGAAGAGTGCGAGTTCGAAGCACCGGACGATGCTTACATCCTCGACTCTGCTGAGTCAGCGGGGGTTGACCTGCCCTACTCGTGCAGGGCAGGTGCGTGCTCCACCTGTGCTGGCAAGATGGTGTCGGGCTCTGTCGACCAATCGGACGGCTCGTTTCTTGATGATCAACAAATGAAGGAGGGGTACTTGCTCACGTGTGTGTCGTACCCTACTTCGGATTGCGTCATCCACACTCACAAGGAGAGTGATCTCTATTGAGTGAGCATCTATCTAATTAGGGTTTGTCGGACTAGTTGCAATAAAATGTTGACGGTTTTTGCCCGTTGAATGAGAATATATTAGGTCGTTTAATTCGGATGTTTGGTTCTACATTTCATGGCTCTTCGTAAACTACTACTTTGGTTTCGGTATCTGCAGATACGAATTTCGTTTTCGCTTCTCTGAAAGTAAGTTGTATAAGCTTTTTCTAAATTTGAAGCACTTTTATAAAAGTGTTTGTGTGGCTTTTATCTACTAAGGTATTTTACAAAAAATAAGCTATGGGTGAGCAAAAAACCCGAAAAATCGAACCATTTGGAATTGAATCGAGCCAAGAATTTTACAAAAAGAAAACCGAATATTTTTGTTTGTGTACGGTTTTCAAGCATAAAGCCACACCGCTGGAACCGTACCGGAAACTTTAAATGACGTCGATTTACATCGTAATATAAATATATACCGATATAAAAAAAAATGGTTGATCATCAACCCAATTTAAAACACAAAAATATGAATGCATTTTCAATTATGTGTTTTAATTGTATGCATTAGCGAACCTACATGTAAAAAAGCCGAAATACGAACCAAAACCGGATAAACGAATTTATTGGTCCATGCTCGATTTTTTTTGCTAAAAATCGAGTCGAACCGATTCATGCTCACCCGGAGTTTTCTCTCTAAATAAAACTTTGGAAAATGGGCTTTTTAAATACTTTCGTATATACATAAATGGGCCATAATTATGGGTTAGGCCCATACAAACTATGGCCCACTAGTACAGATAATAATAATGATACTTAATAATAAAAAATGAAAAATATGTAGGGCTAAGAGGGGTAGAAATGTCATTTAAACCGTGAAAGATAACGTAACATGAAAGTGTCTGACGCGCCAACCGACCTTTACAGGGAACGTGGGGTTCGAGGTAGATCCATTTTTAGCCATGGCCACGTGTCATAACACGTGTACTGTGTACCGACTCACGTTTCCCGTTTAAGCTTTCGTTTAATTTTTTTTTTTTGCTGCAAAAATAATTTGAGAAAAAAAAAAAAGGAGATTTTTAATTAATTCAACATTTTCTTTAACCATTCATGAAAAATTACCAAAAAGAATCTTACTTTCAATGCCAACTCTATGTATATATTTAAAATGAAAAAATAAAAATGTGAAATATAATAATTGATTAATTATAATGCCTCATGCATTGCATTATTTATTTCCCAATTTTCTTTAGGTGAGAAGTATCTATCAATGTTTTATTTTAATTAACTAATCTAATTTTATTAATTTGGCAAGTGTTAAACTTGAGAGCAACACCTTCAATAGATAAGCAAGAAAAGGTTAGCCACTCCTCTTACTATATATATATTTTTTGATTAATCTTACTATAGTTTGGTCCTACACAATAATTCACAATAAAAGATTGGATGAATTAAAAAATTAAATAATAAAAAATAATTAAAAAACACCATTACGTTGGAATATTCATCAAACCATTATTATATTTTCATAAATAGTAGTTATCAAATTTGTTTGAATAATTTATTAAAAATACCATAAATCTGAATTGTTTTTCAATTTTCATGCTTGGTAAAATTAACTCAAATGTGTCGAAATAATTGAAAAATCTAATAATTAGTGAAATGGGACTTGTGGGTCATTGTATCAAAAGGACGAGGGTATTTCCGGAAATGGAAAAGAGTATGTCGGTAATTTACACTTCAGATATTTTTTCATTTGGATTAAGGCACGAAAAGAAGATGACAACAAAAAAAAAATTAAAAAAAAATAAATAAATAAAAAATAATAATAATAATAATAATAATAATAATAAATAAAATATTATAAGATTAAAGAGAGAAAGAAAATGAAGATGTGACGTGGAAAAACGAGTGGCCGAAATACGTAAAAAAAGAAGTAAAGAAAAAAAAAAAACTGATGTGCTAAATCCCAGTCCACACCAATTTTACCAAATCATACACACAATTGAAAGTTTTTCTCTCTCTAAAATCCCATCTTCCCTTTTCCCATCCTTCTTCTTTTTTCCTAACTTTTTCACAAAATCACACTAAAAACATCCACATCATTCCAAGTTCGAATTTGAGAAATATTTTTATGTGTTTAAACTAAAATAAAGTTGGAATTTGAGGAACAAATTTGAATTGATATGAATTTAAATAATAAAAAAGGCATAATGAAATTGAAAAATATTAAATAAACATAAACTCACTTTTTATGATTATTCACGTGAAAGATTAACGAATTTTGAGTCACTTGGAAAAAAATGATCATAGAGAAAAGTTAGAGAGAATATAAGTAGAGACGAATTTTTTTTTTAATTTATGTGTGGGATTTAGTAAATTTTAGTGTGGGATTTAGCATGCCCCAAAAAAAAATCTGAATCAACATGAATTCAAGTTCAACAGCATCATATAATGGCGGCTTAATTTACTAATAATAAATTAAAATAAAATAATGAGAGACACAAACTCAACTCTTTATCATTCAACATAAGTTTTCTACCGCGTGTGAAAACTATTAATTAAATTAATATTAAAAAAATAAAGGCGTTCGCGTACACACACAGACACACACTTATATATATATATACACAGATACATTGAGGAAGAAAGCAGCACCGCCTGTGGCTGAGAGATTTTTTAACAGAGTTAGCAAATCGCTAATTACAATGGCCACTCCACGGCGGCGGCTTCTTCTTCTCCTCCTCCTCCTCTTCGTTTTTTCAGGTTATTCTTCTTACTTAATTCTGCTATTACTCAATTTCACTGCAATTCCAATCAAATTTTAGTTTTTTTTTTCTTCTCAAATTTCTGTCGCTGATTTTTATTTTTATTTTTGCGAGAAGAAAAGGGTTTTTAGGATTTTGTTGCTCTTTTGTGTGATGTTACTCAGCTGTACTTAATTGGGATTTTTTATTTTAAAATAATTTTGGTGTAGTTAATAAGTGATTTCAAGATTCAGTATCTTGTGATTCTTTAATACGAGCAAGTGATTCCGTTTGTAACTCACAGATTTACATAAATGGGACTTTTTTTTTTTTTAATATTTTTTTGCCTATTTCCATTTCTGTGTTCGTTTAGCCATTGATGAATGATATAGAGTGTGCTCTATTGAATATTTTGCTTGTTAATAATAAATAATAATAATAATAATAATATAAACAATCTCCCTTTTTTTTTTTTTTTTTTCTTTCTTGTGTTCGACTCTGTTTTCCAATTGCTTATCAGATTCATTTGCTTTCCTATTTCCGTAACCATATTCAGTTATCGAATGCTCGAAATTCGATACCGCTCTCTCGAATAGCTGGTGTCTTTCCTTGTTCTTGGTTAAACATAAAATCGCTTGTTGATACGTAAATAATTTCCCCCGATTTTCTCGTTTTTCGACTATGTTTTCAGATTCATTAGTTAGCACGGCACGCAGCCAAGGAGTGGGGATAAACTACGGCCAAATCGCAAATAACCTCCCGGCCCCGTCGCGCGTGGTCCACCTCCTCAACTCCCTCAACATAACCCGAGTCAAGCTCTACGACGCCGACCCCATCGTCCTGTCAGCATTCGCCTCGTCGCCGGTCGAATTCGTGATCGGACTAGGCAACGAGCACCTACAGCAGATGACCGATCCGTCCCTCGCCCAAGCCTGGATCCAAACCCACGTCCAACCCTACATCTCCCGCACCAAAATCAACTGCATAACCGTCGGGAACGAAATATTAACCGGCAACGACTCCCAACTAATATCGAACCTCCTCCCTGCAATGGAGACCGTTAGTGGGGCCCTCGTGAATCTCGGTTTAAGTGATAAAATTTACGTCACGACCGCTCACTCGTACGGAGTCTTGAGCAACTCGTTTCCGCCTTCTTCCGGAACCTTCCGCCAGGATTTGGTGCCGTATATTCAACCCATTCTTGAATTTCATGCAAGGACGAAATCGCCCTTCCTTATAAATGCGTACCCGTTTTTCGCGTATAAAGACAATCCGGGAGAGGTGTCGCTCGATTACGTGCTCTTTCGGCCGAATGCTGGCTCGATCGACCCTGTTACGAATTTGCATTACGATAATATGTTGTACGCGCAGATCGATGCGGTTTATTCGGCGATTCGATTGTTGGGGCACACCGATATACAGGTATTTATTTATTATTACCCCCTCCGTCTCATATTAAGAAAATCAATAAATATGCATAGATTAAAACGAATAAAATATTAAAAAACCATTAAAATAACCTCCTCGTCAGTTGCTTCTCGACTAATTGTCTTTCAATTAAGTAAAGAGTGAACAAAGTGCAAAACTGAAAAAAGTGCAATTAATGCATCATTGAAATTATGAAGTGATCGAATATTTTGTATGACGGATGGATTAGTACTAATGTTTTTTCTACACGGATATATAGGTTAAGGTTTCGGAAACGGGGTGGCCTTCGAAGGGGGATGTGAATGAAGTGGGGGCCACACCAGAAAACGCTCAGTTGTACAACGGGAATTTGATTAACAGAATAGCGTTGAACGAGGGGACTCCAGCGAAGCCATCGGTGCCGATCGATGTGTTCTTTTTTGCGCTATTTAACGAGGATTTGAAGCCGGGGCCCGCTTCCGAGAGGAACTACGGGTTGTATTATCCGGACGGTACCCCAGTGTATAATATTGGGTTGCAGGGTTTTCTTCCGCGAATGAGTTATTCGTTTTCCGCGAAAAATGTAAGGAGATGTCTTTATCTTTATTGGCTGATATAATTCTTCTTTTTTTTTTATATATATATATATATATATATATAATGTGCAGCTTCTGATGCTCTTCATAATTTTTTCAGGTTATACTTCTATTCAATTTCTTCGTTCCGGTAGCTTTATTTTTATGTTTGTCATAGCTCGATATTTATTTAACTGGTGGCAACGATAGAGAAGGGAGTTCGGAAATGTCGAGGTTCTTCAGTGGGGAAATTTTGTAAGGTACGTTTTATTTTCAGTTATATATATTTATATTGCATGAGTTTTACTATTAATTTATCCATACAATCACGTTTGTGTACATTAGTTGACTTTTTAATTATTTAAAGCTTAAATAAAATAAAATTGATGTTTAATGGACCAAAATAATCAAAATAGGATTCTAATCTTGTCTATTTGCTGTGGTCCGAATTTTGGCGCATGCATCTGATTTTTTTAATGGACCGTCGAATATCGAAAGCTCATCGACAACGACGTTTTACGTCTTTATTCATTTTCCCATTTTATTACAGAATATTATGTCGTATCGTCTACAAGGACGGCCAATTATTTATTATTTTTCCGGTGTCTTTTGCACATCAGTTTCAGATATATGCATCTATCCTTACTTTAATCAATTATGTTGGTTTTTCATGCTTCGAAGTATCTCCCTTTTCGTATATCGACCTTTTTATTTTCTTTCTAAATATTGTAAGTAAGTGGGATTCGCTAATAATTTTACCTGATAGGACAAAGTTCTATGTTGCCTATTTCTGGTGCTGTAACATCAACCATGATGCTCGAACCGTAATCGTGTCTAGTGGCTTTCGACGTCGTGGGGCCCGCTTCGTAATACTTTTGAAGTGATCTTACATCATGGATTAGATAACATCATAATATAAGGCTTTAAAAAGACAAATACACTTTGATGACTACAAAATTGCCTAATTGTCAACCTAAGTTGGCAATGTTGTGCTGATAAAACTGAAAACAATGTTCTCTTATTCCCATTTGAAACTGGATTAGCCCATCCTCTGTTATTACAGGAAAAATCGGCAGACGGTTGGTCTTTTGAAACATGATTATCTTATTCGGATTAGATTGTTACTTAAAAGAATTATGTACGTTTGAATTCCTTTTGGATCGTTAGGTCTTGTTACTGACGAGATCATTCATTCTTTTGTGCAGGTAAAGATGTCGAACTAGATGTGAAGAGAGAGATTTCGCCATGCAGCTCAGAGCAGATTTTCATACTTGTAGATTTTTTAGATATTTTTAGATTTAATAGCTGATTCATTGGATAGAGATTAGAAAATAAAAAAAAAGCGTGTTTCTCATTCGGGTAGAAAGAGTTGTATAATATTATTATTGCAGTTCAATGTATTTGATTGTGTTCTTCATACAATTATCGATTATTAACTTTCTGTCTCAATGAAATAATGTCCCATCGACCACATTATTATTAACGAATAAAATTGCTAACCAACAATGCTAACAAACGATGTCGATTTCTCAACTATGCCCCGAATGGCTATGCGTAAAATTCCAATGCAAAGTCTCGGCATGTGGACAATTCCTATGCCTCGACAATTCGAATTAAACTTCTCAGGTATTGTCAATTGGTGGTGTACTTTTGAATAAAACGAAAACTAGACCGACTATTAAAACAATTGAATTCAACAAAGAACAAATTGCGCCTTAAGTAGCTTCGTCATATAACTTCTTCTTTTTTTCTAGAAAGCAACCATTTTTCAAGATATCGAATACCTGTATATAAATATTGGTGATCAATAACTCCTTCCCCAGTATGTCCACTTCTTCGCTGGTTTTCCCGACGCGAAGCACAAGGTACCTATAACAAGATGATGAAATTAGAACTCAATAACAAGACGAATTTTCTGAAAATGAATTTTATTACCAACATTTTCGCATAGATTATGCTCTATTGACGATTGTTTGTGTACCTTCAGGGAGTTCAGGCTGTTGAAATGGAGAACACAATGACTTGGCTGCACCCATTTCCCCCTTCGTACGTGTCTTCACATCCCTCTCCACCTCCTGTACGACGGAAGAATATTCAGCTAATATAATTCTAATTCATAAATTCATGTATAGTCGTCCCTTTTTTGGGAGAATGAAAAATAATCGAGAGAGCTATGAGAATTTAAAACTAAATACCTCTTCATCACACCATGGGGCCAGAATCATCTTCTTCTGTCCAAGTGCTTCTGCAAATTCTTCCCATGTATGTACAACCTCAATACATACATCTCGTTTTTCCTTGGCGGCATCAAAGAGGCTTTGCTGGATGTTATCAAGCATGTCTTTCACTCGTTCGACCACATCAGCCATGGGAATATCGTGTTTTGTTGCATTGTCACGCCTAACTGCACGGACCTGATACGAGTAACAACAATTTGATTTTTTAGCAAAATATCTGAAATGGAAAAGAAGAAAGCAAAGAATAACAGGAATTAAGAGTTCTGAATATATACCTGATTATTTGCGTAGTCTTTCGGCCCAATTTCTATCCTAAGAGGAACACCTTTCATTTCCCAATGTGAATACTTCCATCCTGGTGAATAGTTATCTCTAAAATCAGCCTCCGCACGAATGCCTGATTCGTTTAAGGATTTCACAGTGGCTGCGCATGCGTCGAAGATCCCTTTTGTGTCTGCATCCTTATAGGGAACAGGGATAACAATTACTTGAACAGATGCTACTTTGGGAGGTAGCACCAAGCCTTTGTCATCTCCATGGACCATTATCATCACCCCTATCTGTCATATATTTGGCAAGAGGTGAAATTCTTAAAAAATCGATTAAGTAAAACTAAGGCCTCGAAGAATATTGTATCTGCTTAACAATGAATATTATTTAAATTGTATAAGGACCCAGCATTTACTTTGTTAGATGACAACAAAAGCTATGGAAGTAAATGCGTCATTTACCGTTCTGGTGGTATAAGCCCAGGAATTCTGCCAGACCATAGCCTTTTCTCCTTTCTCGTTCTCAAAATTTATCTCAAACATTTTTGCAAAATTTTGGCCCAGGCAATGTGAAGTTGCACCTTGCACACCACGCCCAGTGTTTGGGACAAAAGCCTGATCATGCAGCAGAAACACGTCAAGATATGATTAAGAAGTTTTCAGAAAAAAATTACCAGTAAATTTAATGTCACCTCAACGGTAGTGGTGTAAAGTCCACCAGCAAACTTCTCATGCTCACTTTTTTTGCCCTTGATAACAGGAACCGCCAAGAACTCTTCATATATACGTCTATAAAGTTCTAGGATATCCAGCACCTAAAGAAGAAAGATGCCAGAAAGCCAAAACAGCTCCATTATAATAGAGGATAACTCTTAATTCTGTTATACTTCAAATGATTCTCGGTGAGTTATTTTCTTGCACTGCTTATAATAGAAGAAGTACCTCGGTATCTGCCTCCTCCTTGGTTGCAAAAGCAGTATGTCCTTCCTGCCAAAGAAACTCTCTACTCCTGCAAAATCACAAAAAATGTCAAGAACCACAAGAACGGAAAGGCATATATCAGTGAAACTGATCGGTGTAATTGATAACAGGTATACTTCAGAACATCAAAGATAAACGAACAGGAATTCGAAACCATAAAAATAGGCCATCATCACACTGCATCAGCACCTGATGAATGGAGTGGGATTGCTGAATTCCCATCTAACAACATTACACCACTGATTAAGTCTAAGTGGCAAGTCTCGATGTCCCCTAATCCACTTGGAAAAATATGGATACATGACAGTTTCACTAGTTGGCCGAATTGCAATGGGCATCTCCAGTTCAGATTCTCCCGACTTCGTAACCCATGCAACCTGTAAAAAATTTAACATCGAGTTACAAACACAAAGAAGCAAGTCTACCAAGCCTCAAACAAGATAAAAGACATTGGAGAGCATGATTGTCAATTTGTCATACAAGCCTCAAACATCATTAAGAACAACATTTGAGAGTATGATTGTCAATTGGTCATGCAAAATGAAAATCTGTCAATTGTAAAAGTGAGACCAGATTTGGAATATGAATGAAACAAATTTATTTTGGATTTAAAATCTAAATTTTGGAAGCATCGGAAAATTTAACGAATTGGAATTAATTATTCACTGAATTTGCGCTGACATGTTATCAAATAAGAGGAGAATGTTATAAGAAAACATCCTCTTCTTGGTAATACATCCAAATGCCATCTTATTTCTTCAGGATTTTTCATTGATATAGATATTCCATCCAAATCCACCAACCCTGAATCCGATTTTCAAACTGTTTCAGAACACCTAAGTCTGGGGCAAAACTGACTGATAATTGGATATACAAATTGAGGACTTCTGATGTTAGAGTACATACATGGCCAAGATATAGTAAATCATACACCACTATAAGGATTCCATGATCTAGAGTCAAAAGCAAAGTAATCTGACCTCAGGAGCAAAACCCTCTATATGGTCCTTTTCTTTTTGAAGGACACCGGATGATACAAACAAAGGGAAGTAACAGTTCTTAATTTTCATTTTCTTGATTTCAGCATCAAAGAATGTCTGCAAAAATAAAGATTTTTTAAAATATTAGTAAGAAAAATCAGGACCCAGTAACGAAACATAGATTATTGCTGGAATGGGGAAGAAGTAATTGCTAAGGTACAGAGATTGCGCTAAGACATCACATTCTTCACATACAATGACCATACAAATGTGCACATGAAAACTATAATCGTCATCCAAAATTAAGGAAATCTTAACTAGAAAACTTCTCATCAATCACATACAGCAAAAGAAATGAAATGGAGGGTTATAAGAAACTAAAAGTAAGATGAAGTTATATCAAATATCTCCTAAATGTAACATACTTCACAAAGGGAAAAGGAAAGAAGACTATAGCTAGGCTAGTTCTAGGCAATTCACGATTAATAACTGCCATTTTAGATAGATGAATGCAAGTGCTATCAGGTTTTTAACATACAAAACAAAAGCCATTTGGTAGGAATATATAATTGCAAAAATTAAGTAAGGCAAAGCAGCTGCTATTGCCAGTAAGGTTTCTTATGGGGACAATAATATATAGTACTTACTTGCATGATCTCCCAAATAGACATTGCCCAAGGGCGCAGAATGTAACAGCCAGATATATCATAGTACTCGATCATTTCCCCGTTAACAACAACCTACAAAAATCAAGGAAAGAGGAAAGTACCATGAGAAAGCTTGGAGTGATCATTGAAGTACACCCAAATTTCAGATTCATAATATCAATACAACAACTGAGATACATTTATGTTATAAATGAAATCCTGATACTAATATAAGGGAAAAATGAACAAATCTTTTAATTCCCTATAGATATGATTCTTGTTTTCTTTCCTTGAACATTTCTTCCGGAAACAGACCAATGCAGACAAATAATAACCAACAGGAAACCACAAACAACGCAGTAGCTAAACCAAATTAAAATGTGGCTAAAGCCATACCTCCGAATACCATTCTCCAAAATTTTCATCTTTCTTATAAGAAAGACCTAGGCCTGTCTCCTTTTTCACTTCCTTCTTCTTTCCCTCTGCGTAATTAATTCACACGATTTCAAATGAATGACAAGTCAAAAAAGGCAAGGGCACTGCACCTATATAGAAATGCACATAGATACAGGAGCAAACAATGAAAAATAGATGCAAAGCATGATACTTACTGGCAGCATTACTTTTAGCATCTTTACCAGCCATGGTGACGAATCTCTTAAAACTCAAAACCTACACATAATCCAAAAACCCGAAACTTGGTGAAACACGGAGGTAGCTATAAGCCTCGACAATATTTACAAATCTCCAAGGCTCATTAAGGTGAATGTTTATCCTAGGCTCCAACGCAAAAAGAAGTTGTCTATGGAGTGAAGTACAAAAATTAGGGCATTTTAACATTTACCAACCATGTGGACAATTTAATCATTTAGTAGATAGATACGAACAAAAAGTTAAGACACAGGACTTACAAACCGGTCGAATACGTTTCGGATGTTGCATTTGGAGAATGTATCAGAAAATGTGATGTATTAGGAGGAAATGATATCGAAGAATGTTATGTATATTGATTATTGAGATTATTTTGAGATGATGAATATAATTTCCTAAAACGAAAACAAACTTTTCATTAATCATCAAAAGAGATTTCAACATTTAGCAAATCAATTATAATTACTTTTCAGCAAATATTACGAAGTAAGCAAATTAGCAGCAGATTCTAATGACTTTCAGCAATTCCAATTATTCTCGGAAACCATTAAACTGCGGAAACCTAGGTGGTTTTCGGAATGTGAAGAAATTAACCGATTCCAGCATGAAAAATGAATCATACAAGAGTGGAATCATTAAGCAATTACATTGAAATTGGATTCGAATTCGAACAGTAATAATGAAGTTCAGTGAACTCACGGTGAGAAGCAGAACTATTACCGATCACAATAACCCTTCCTCACTTTCGAATCTCGACGGTTAGCAATTTCCGACGCAACGGCGGCCGCCGTCACGGAGGAAATGGGGCAGAGAAGAAATAGAGGTTCGTTGTTTCTTTCGTTGTCACCCTAACGTACTGTTTTTAGTTTTGGACTTTAGGTACGGTTACTTTATGGAAAAATATAGTTTTTCTCCATCAAGTTTGCATCAATTTCACAGTAGGTCCCTCGTATTTACAAAAAATATATTTGGTCTCTCATGTTTAGAAAATTCAATACTTTTAGTCATTTCCGTTAGTTTCTCGTTAAAACTAAGGGAATCAAGCGTGTGCCCATCAGTGCCTTGACTAACAGATTAACAGTAAATTGACGAAAATGACCAAAGTGTCAAGTATTAAAACATGAGGGACCAAGTATTTTTTTATAAACATAGGAAATCAAATATGAAATCAGTGTAAACTTGATAGGTGAAAACTGTATTTTTTCCGTCATCGCTTAAAAATTAGAATAGAAGGGTAAAATATAGTACTAGTTAAAAGAAATTAAAAAAATATAATATAACTTGGGAAAAATGACACTAAACTCCTTTTAAAATTGTGAGAATACGATTTTACCCCGGCAAGTGGACCGCACAATTCAGTTTTTACTATAACTAGTATTGCACCCGTGCGATGCACGGATCGCACGGGTCAATTTAAAAAGAATAAAAGCTTTAGATAAAATAATAAATTGCACCTTTGAATATTTGATATATAATATGATATAATAGGTGAGAAAATAAATTCATTCTATTTGGTTCAAATACTAAATTAAAATATAAAATATAAAATTTGTGATATAAAAAATAAGATACATCATATGATAAAAATACACCTGACACTGCAAAAATAATTATACATATAAATAATTAAAAAAACAATAATTATACGTATAAATAATTAAAAAAAAACACATGTGTTTAACCGTGGGTACATTATATATCTATCCGCTGTGTTTAGATATAATTATACTGGATTCTTATATATTGAAAAAATGTGAATGTCAAAAATAAGTAAAATTAGGGAATATTTGAATTGATTTATCCGTCATTATAGGCATTAATTCCTACATTATAATGTTAAAACATACGAATTCCACAAAATCATGTAGATATATGAATAAGTAATATGTAAAATTGCAAATTTATAAGGATCAAGCTTAAGTGATGCCAATCGATTAAAAACGAATGCAATAAAAGGGGATTTCATTTTATACTACAACTGCAAGCCCAAAATTTTCTATTAAAGTAAATATCAAGGAAATATAATTGAAGAAACATAATCACAATAAAGAACCTATTTACATGTAAACAGTAAATAGATTAAAACCACATTAATCCTTCACATCTATTACACTTTGGGTAGATATCTAAATCTTGCTTCAGCCAAACACGGATAATTTATTTTGCCAGCCATCTACATTCCTCTTACTTTTTATCAAAGATAATCTGCCACCACAAATCAAATGTTCAGACACTATCCATTAAAAGCAATTGCTTTCGCAAGAATTCATGAAAGAAAAAGATACAGGACAAGAACCTCGTGGTAATAACATGTGCTGTAATTATATTAACAGCAAAGGGTTCTATTTGAGGCCCGCCGAAAATCGATGAACCATCCACTTGGGCCACAATATCGTTCTTTATAACAACAGCAACACCAAACTACAACCACCAAGCGACAATTTTATATAGTATAGAAATTAAGAATATCAAATCAATTAATATCTACTTAAGAATTAAATGGATGGATGGAGGTGCAAAAAACCTCGTCTACTAATTTCTGAAGGCTCCTCGAGAACTTTAAAAGGAGTATTTGTTCGACTGACAATTCACCTCTTCATGATAAATGTGTTCTATAAAGAGCAGTGGCACTATATCTCTACTGTCATGATGGTAAACCTGTATATATATATAAGAAAAATATAAGAAACAAAAAATATATAATAGTAAAAAATTAAACTTACGGTAGGTCTAAATGTAAAAATATATAATAGTAAAAAATTAAACTTACGGTAGGTCTAAATGTTTGTTGGTGTGCAACAATTCAAACATACAACGACCTAAAAATAAGAAACTCATGGCCCTTTTAGTAGTAAAAAACAGAAGACAAAATATGAACTCAAACAAATTCTTAATTTTGCTTACTACCTACTGACCATATCCCTGCTTAATATACATATGAGAAGATCCGGGCAACCTAGTTTATTAAACAGGGAACATATAATTGGGGTGTTTCGGTAATCTAGTTTGTGGCCATTGTATAATTCATAACAAATAAGCAAGACCTCCCTCGTGAAGAAGTGTTGCCAATACAAAATCCCCTGTAAATTCAATACGGTAAATAAACTATATCATTGTTAACTTTGAATATCAATTTAACTAAATAAAAGATGCTGAAAGGGTCAATAGGATTGTATGATATAAAATGCAAAGACCTGTAAGTAAACAGACAAACATTTTAACATTAATTTATAATCTTACTCACCTATCTAGTAGTCTGTGTGGCATGAACTTGCATTTTAACATTAATGGACATTGTTTTTCCCTCATCATCACTTTAATATAACGGGACGCTGAAATACACTTACAGTTGACAGTAAATGCATGAACATCTTCGTACCTAGTGGAAGCAAAATCCTAATCCAGAAATAATAAGATTGAACATAGAAACAATTTCTAAAAAAGAATAAAGAAACAATATAGTACGGAACAACTTTTAATTTGGTAACTTCGAACAATCTGCACAAAAAAAGGGCATCAATTATATGACAACGTGGAGTAAAAATAAATTGATTTCAAAAATCGGCTATGAGATGGAGATACAACAAAGACAGGGAAAAACAATTCCCTCACAGACGTCGACGAAGAAAACGAAAAACATCTTCACCTTTTGACGGCCCTTTCTCTTGAATCATAAAACCATAAAAATTGAAAAAAAATAAACAAATAACACATGCTTCAGAAAAGAGAAAATACATGGATTGAGGCTCTTTGCTAGGCCAAACATTCAAGGAGATTTTGGAGTAATTCACGTGTCCCATTTAAAGAGATGAAACACACAAATTAGAAAACTCGAAAACACCAAAACATTAATTTTTATTTATTTATTAAAAGTCATTTTACCTTTTCTAGAGATTTGAGATTGTAAGCATCACTATTATGCCCTTCGTTTGCAGCATCGGCAAACCTCGAGCCTTTTAGAGAGACAAATCGTCGAGCAAAAATTCACTCAACAACTGCTCCCTCGTCGTAGCTATTTCAGACTGCACAAAAAATAAATATTAGAAAACGATAATCGATATCAAAAAAAAATGATAAATCGATTACGGAAAATTTCTTACTTGAAATTTCAACACCGTTGGCAGTGGCTCTCGTTGGCAGCAAAGGGTTCTTCAATCTGACTCTGGACGATTTTTGTTCAACTTTTGGCCGGCGAATTTTAGAACTTCAATTTTGTGGAAAGTAGGAGGTTCAATTTTGTGGGAAGTAATAATTGTTGAAAGAATTGTGTTGATATAGAGATGAGACATGAAATTGGAGATGAGAAGTAATTAAATCGATGGGAAAAAACTGATTTCGATCGGCGGTTTCTGCAGTTGAGAGAGTGGGTATAAAAATTTAGAGGAAATTAAAGATGACGATGAAAAACGACCGATAGAATTTAGGGGAGAAGAAGTATGGGTTTTTTTCATTTTTACACCAAAAAATAATAAAAATTATAAAACTTACCCTAGGGTTAGAAACCCTAAGTTGCCACGTGTCAGAAGATGAGGCAAGGTATTGTCTTTTTATATAGGGGTCATTAGCAATACACCCCTCCTATAGATAAAAAATAGTGATATGTCCATGCCATAATTCTTTCTTTGTGAAAACCCCTTATAATATTTAATTCCAATTTTACCCTTATACTACTTTTTTTTAATAATTATCTAATATTAACAAAATTCCTATTAATAAGGAAACTAAATCCTGCACGTTTTTTATTATAATTATCTACTATTTACAAAATTCCTATTAATGAGGCACCTAAATCCCACCAATTAGGAATAATTAGTATAATTTATCTCAATTATTTATTTTTTCTCTCTTTCCATAATAATAATTTAATTCCTAAAAATGTGCTTTCAAATTCCTAAAAAAATGCCACCAAATCAAAAAAAATATATATATTCGGATTTTATTTTTTTTATTTTTTATTTTTATATTATTTTCGGACTTTATTTAGCCATTTTTTATTTATTTTTATTTATAATATTTTTTAATAAAAATAATTTTTTAAATGTTTTTTTATTTTTTAAAACAAAAAATTGAAATTTTTCTCTCCACAAGTTTGCAACCCGAATATGACTATAATTGAATATGACTATATGTGACTATATTAACTGTAGTCATATTCTTTCTTTACATTGTTGTTTTTTTTTTTTTTTGAAATTAAAAATTCCGATTATATGGCATAGTCATGTTTACCAAATCATATAAAACAACGAATATTCCCTATTGTTTACGAAAACAATCCAATCAGTATCCACACAAAAAATCAATTTGAATCTACTTACTAGAAGTCTACTTGAAAACGAGAAGATAGATTATATTCAACAATAGTCATATTCATATTCGGAAAATACATAAATAAGACTATAGTCATATTCGAATATGACTATAGTCATGTTACTGCTGCTGTTCAGATCTGGAAAAAAAAATCGAAAGAGAGAGTGGGGAACAAACAAGAAATTCATAAATCAGTAATTGATCAATTCAACCACAACAAACACATTGAAACTTACACTAACATATCAAGTAACGCAAAAAACAAATTACAAGCATTATCGCCAAGCATACCCTCGCCATATCCATCAATGTTGTAAGTCATCGATACATCCCTCGCATTCAAACTGCACCACTTATCGGTGACAAAGCCAACGAGGTCTTCATACACAAAATCACCCTGACATATCTTCACCCCAAACGAGCCTCCATACTTCAACACAATCATCAAGGTTGACGACATGTTGTGCAGCACTACACCAAAAAAAATTCAGAATGTGACTACTATGTGACTACTTCTGATGAGTAAATATGCACTACTCTGTAAATGCAAATCACATAATATTATCCGAATTCAATTCTACAACAACAAACACATTGAAACTTACACTAACATATCAAGTAACGCAAAAAACAAATTACAATAAATTACACTAGCATATCAATTACCACAAAACGAACAATTAATTTACAGAGTAGTCACAACGTGACTCTGTGTAAAACGGAATAAAATTTTGAATCAGTAACAATCCTTTACACCAATTAAGACGACCAAAAAATAAACAATAAAATTCGGTTCTACGTACACACATATCTGAATACACACACTACAGCCCAGCCCCCTTTACGAAACAAACAAAAATAAAGCAGCACCTCTAACCTTCAAACGCAGTTTCCCATTAACGAAAACCAACAAAAATAAAGAAGAATCTCTAACCTTCAAACGCAGTTTAACTCCGGCAACGAACAAAGAATGGTTGAATGGCGATGAAATCTCTATTCTCTCCTAATCTCGGCTGAACTCACGTCTGTGTATCAAAGAGAATCACGTCCGCCTATAATAAAGGGAAACGGTTATGGAAAGATATCGTGATTGAATATTTGATTTATTATAAAAAACTATTAATAAGGGTACTTATGTCTTATTATGTTTAATTAAGGGGGTTTCACTAATTAAGTTTGTGATGTGGGTTTGTGCAAAAGTCTTAAAAGTCAATTGGGTTTTACTCATAATATTTTCCATTTGAGGGGGGTATTGCATATTTCCCCTTTTATATATATATAGATAATAAAGGGTAAATTACAAACACCCCCTGAGGTATGGTCAAATTACAAAAACACCCCTCTTGTTTGGATAATTACAATCACTCCCTCAACTCCTTAAATTTAGTGAAATCTTCGAGATTATATGGAATATTATCACTTTTGTACCCGTTTTATCTCATTCAAACTCTACATTATGAAGCAAGATGATCATAATATGTGATTTTTAGCTTGTATATATCAGTTTTTGGTGCATCGAAAACTGTATTTTTACACAAAACGAGTACAAACTAGAGCAAATTTCACGGAATCTAGATGATTATGTTGAATTTGGCACCATAAGGGTGGAGGTGTAAGAAAAAATCATAGTTGAGGGAGGTAGATGTAAGAGGGGGGTTTTGTAATTTGACCATACCTCAGGGGGGTATTTGTAATTTACCCTATAATAAAAAGGTAAGAATGCAAGAAGGGTAAAAACAATGGCCACGCGGCATCTGTCTATTGGTGTTCCTTACGCAGCACCACCGCTCGGGTCGTTTAACGAATCTCATTTCCCAATTTCGGTTCAATTACAGAGTAACCGGACCTCAGTAATAGAAAACCTCTAATAAACCTCTTTTCTCAATTTCTACACTGGTTTGATTCGATCCTACAGGCAAGGCAATTCCGATCCAGAATGGCGGTTCGGCCGACGACGATCCGGTTCCCGGGCAACCCGATCGAGCAGGAGGCGTGCGGCGTGCCGTGGGGCGTGACGCTGACGCCGTTCGCGGCCAAGGACGAGAACGACATCCCGCCGGTGTACGGCTCCGGCGGGGAGCTGTTGCCCCGATGCGAGAACTGTTGGGCGTATTACAATACCTACTGCGAGCAGGATCAGTGGTCATGGGACTGCGCTCTCTGCGGCACCACCAATGGCCTCTCGTCGGAGTCCATCATGCGATACTCTCTCCCACACTCCTCCCCGGAGAATATGTCCTCCTTCATCGACCTCGAATTGCCACGTAATTATCATATGTCAATCATTTCAACTTTTGTTTTTCCAATTAATTATTTCGATTTCGAGGAAGTGCAATTCACTAACTGAATTATCAATTTTTCGGGTGCGGATTAAGTATGATCAACGCCAGAGTACAGCTTATGTGTGATGAGCTTCTATTTTTTTTTCCTGGGGTGAAACTGCATTGTCAGTGTCAAGAGCATTTAATTGTTTAAGGAATCACATTTAGTAACTTTAACCCATATAACCCTCCCGATGAGTTAATTCAGTCTTTCATGTGTATAGATTGAGATACTGTCTCGTGTGCATCAGTCCTTGTATGTGTTCTGGCAGCACCGAAATCGCATTTTGGCATTCTCTTATTGCCCATTTTGAACATTGAATCGGCTAATGTTTACAGTTTTCCCCACTGTTAGATCAATTCCATAATGCTGGAGTGTTTAGGTAATTTGAAATTACGGGACCAATTTTTTCATAGCAGTTTGTTAGTAGGTGCTTAGTTAGTTTGGCTACAAATTTGAATGGCCATCATTGTGTAGCATCGTTATGATCATATATGAATATCTACTAGCTTGTTGAAGCCAAAAATAGGGGCTTTAGATTGTAGGTTACTATATGCTGTCAATGCTATGGCGCGAAGTTGAATTGCCCATATTTTTTGTACCTAAAGTAAGCAACACGAGTTTACCATGTCCATAAAACTGATGTATGTGATAGATGAGAAGTTCTGTAATGCCTTCATGTTGGAGTAAGGAGCACATATATATCACTGTCCATTTCATGTTACCGTGTGCATAAGTCGTAGTTCTAGAAGCTTACACTCTTCCTGGTTGTTTGATTTTTCATCCTTCTATTTATGATGTCAGTGGAGGGATCTGAAGAAATGCAGGCAAGGCCGGTGTATGTTGCTGCAGTTGATCTCTCTTGTAAGATTTTGTTTAATTGTTGCAATTGTCGACTATTTTTATCTTGATTATTTTTTGGTCAATAAAACAAACCTTTACTTTGTTTCCCACTTCAGTTTAAGGATTAAATGATTAATATGCTTTCTGTTGTTGAGTACTTGAATATTCAGTGATCATGTTACCAAGCATGTTGATGCCAATTAGTTTTGTAAACCCCACATTATTTCTAAGGAGTTTACACTCACTGTTGAAATGTAGAAGGTAGGGAAACAATAAGTTCCCTATGTTACTGCACTAAGGTTATTCGCTGAAAACATTTGCAACTCGAACTATATTTTATCTATTGGATTGTGGTATCAAAGTCTATAACTCAGTTCCAAGTTCTAATCACCTCTTTCAGTTATGCCATTTATCTTAGTGCATTTTAAGGATGCCTAACTTTTAGCTTCTGCAAATGTCTATTTCTGCAGCATCGGAAGAGTTTCTAGAACTTACTAAAAGTGCTCTTTTGGCTGCCTTGGAAGGTTTGTTATGTTGTGATTTATATAATCCAAGTCCTTATCCGTCCTATTATGCTAAATTAAAGTCAGTTTTGTTATTCCACAGCTCTTTCTCCGGGATCACTTTTTGGTCTTGCCACAATCAGCCATAAAATAGGCTTATACGATGTTCAGGGGCCCATTCCAGTGGTCAAGAATGTATTTATTCCCCCAGATTCTGCTGGCAACCTGACAATGGAGCTTGAAGATGTCATGCCATTGTTTTCTTTTCTGGCTCCAGTATGTGTTAATTGATGTTCTCTTCCGTAGTGGTGTTTTTTCTCATTTTCCTCATTGTTTTTTAAATTATTGTCATTATTATTATTTCACAAAAACTGAAAACTAGTGAAACTGAAGCTTTGAAGGTGGACTAGCCAACACTCAAATGTTTAACTATCAATATTATAGGTTGATACGTGCAAGGACCGTATTACATCTGCACTTGAAACTCTAAAACCAACAACTTCATGGGAACGGACTACAGCTGCAGGCCAAGGATTAGATGGTGTTTTACTTGGTGGGCGAGGGTTTGGAGTGGCAATGGAAGCTCTCCTCAAATATCTTGGATCGGAGTATGGGAATACGTATGCACTAGGTACAATAACTTTATTCATGAAATCAGTTCCTAATTTGTTTGCACCCTTTTTCATGCTTTCTAGTGGAGGCCACTTCAGTGAGATTTTTTTATTTGATTTCTGAATCTATTACCTGGTCAAGGACTGGCTAATTCTTTTTCCTTTTGATTCATCCCCCTGAATTGAAGTGCAGCCAGAGTATTCGCCTTCTTATCTGGTCCTCCAGATTATGGTCTTGGCCAGCTAGACACCAGGCGATATGGTGAGCAATATGCTAGTAAAGGAGAGGATGCAGATCTTGCTTTACTCCCTGAACAGACTCCTTTTTATAGAGATTTGGTACTTGGCTTAAACCATCAGAGAGTTTTCATTTGTGAGGCTTGTAAAAGAATAGATGATAATATATGTTTGACAGGCTGCTGTTGCTGTTCAAGCCGGTGTATGTGTGGATATATTTGCTGTTACGAATGAGTACACTGATTTAGCATCTTTGAAGTTTCTTAGCATTGAGAGTGGAGGCTCTTTGTTTCTATATTCAAATACCGATGATTCAACACTTCCTCAGGACATGTGAGTAATTCCTAGGTTAAATATGATCATCAAACTTGACAATGATATCGAATGTAGTTTTGTTCTGGAGTAGCTGGTGAAAATTTCAGCCGAAATCAATAATTTTTGGCCATACAAAGATTATTCAAGTTACTTAATAAATTGTTGTTCTTGTTATTTGTTTTGAGTCTAGTTGACCTGAATAATCTCATTGCAGGTATCGCATGTTAAGTCGGCCATATGCTTTCAATTGTGTCTTGCGTGTGAGGACATCATCTGAGTTTAAGCTTGGACATTCAGTAAGACTCAGCCCTTTCAGCTTTGAAATGTTTTTAGCTGTTAGTATTGTCTAATAATGCTTATCATTTGGTGCTACAGTACGGACATTTCTTCCCTGATCCAGAATATGAAAATGTTCAACACATTATTTGCTGCGACTCTTTTGCAACATATGCCTATGATTTTGATTTTGTGAATGATGTTGGATTTTCCAGGTAAGAAAATAATGTCATTTCTGTTTGTTCATTTTTTTATTTGTCTTCAAGCGTTATAGTCCTGATTGCTCCTTGAACTTCAATGAGGCTTAGTTTCTGTTAATTGCTTGTGAAGCGATAGAGAGACCATTGAGCTTCTTATGAATTACGTATTTGATATTGTTTTTTGTTTGTATATGTTACTAATTTTATCTCTAATTGCCTATTGTTTTGTTCAATTTTGTTAATATCAAGCAAAGTATTAGCATGTTGCACAATTACTGTAAAGTAAATGTACTGTTTCTTATGTGATTTATTTCCATCTTTTGGGGGTTGATATTCTTACCTGTTTTGTCTGTCTTTCCTGCCAACCTACATATATATATATATATATGTCTGTTTGCTTTTAAAATCTGATATTAGAGATTTTTTCTGCAGACACAGCAAAGAACTCCCAACAATACAGATTGCATTTCAATACACAGTCGTTGTTCCCCCTGATGAACCATCAATATCAGGTTCAAGCTCCTCAAAGAGGTTTGCTTCTTTTTGGTGCTGTTCGCACCTAGTATATTTCTGATGAATATATTAAGCTATGTGCATTTTCATTATCAAACCTAGGAAACTGAGTTCATGCGACCAGTGAACAAACTAAGTTTTCACAATGTAATCCTCAAAGTTGAGTTTTATTGCAGAAGTTATTGACTGTTCTCACCTAGCAAATTTCTGATGGATGTATTCAGCTATGTGCATTTTCATTATCAAATCTATGAGTTCAGGATACCAATGTGATTAAACATCTAAATGAGCAGATGAACCGTCTCCTTTTTTGTAAAATGATTGAAACTCAACCGAAACGAGTTATTTGTTGTACCTTGTTAATTCCTTATGCTCTTATTATTTGACCATTGAGGACTGAGTTAAAGCTTTACATTACTACTTTTGCTTTTATTAAAGAGCCTTCACCCATATTGCTGAAAAATAGAAAGCCACATTTGTTTCCAGTGTTTTTATTTTTTATTTGTACATTCTACATTTTTGCAGAGGTAAATATTCCCTGAAAAGAAGAATGAGGATTAGAACTTTACAATTCGAAACTGCTCGCAGTGTGAACGATATTTATGATACTGTTGATCCTGAAGTTGTTCTTTCCATACTTGTTCATGAGGTAAATCTAGTTAACTGAAACTTTCAACTATTACTATTATCTGGCCCTTCTTCGTGACGGGCAGTGGTAGAATAGGTGAGAATTTGTGGTCATCTTCACTGCAGGCTTAGAGCAAGTACCATCAGAGTCTTAACCAGATCATGAGTACCTAATGCATAATTTGTTCATTTGTATGCATACTATGTGTACAGCGGCGTATCATTATGTGCTAATGTATTGTCTTTGCATGTCAACGATTTTACATCTGGATGTATAATCCACGTACCTTTTCAAAGGAAAAATCCCAAGTAGAAGTGCATGTACAAGATTCCTTTACTTCTGTGCTATTTATTGTCTCGTGTTCTTTTTACTGGAATAATATCTCTAAGCTTTATTAATCATTTACGTTATTTTACTTGTCAGTGAAATCGAGAAACTGAACTTTATACTTTCTTTCTTGTCTTAAAATGGGTCCCAGTGCATGCATGAAATATTTACCTTTCTCAAGTTCTGCCTGCACATTCCAATTTGATTCTGCCAGATTGAGGAAGGATATTTTGTTTTGTTATGAGTATAAGACAGTTGTTGAAATATCTACTAATTTGCTAGTTTCATTTCTTGCCATAATTCTTCTCAGGTGATTTTGTCCTCTTTGGAGAATGGTGTTCGAGAGGCTAGGATCTTATTACACGAGTGGCTTGTAAATCTTACGGCTCAGTATAATGATGCTTACAAGATTGCTGAATACACGAGGGGGGGTTTAAGCACTTCTCATGTAGATGTTGCCTTCACCCAATGCCCTCAGCTGCAACATTTGCCCCGTTTAATCTTTGCTTTGTTGCGTAGTCCTCTTCTTCGCTTTCATGAAGAAGGTGTTCACCCGGACTATCGGATATATCTTCAGTGTCTATTCAGGTATATGATATTGACATTTTCCATTATAAAAACTCAAAGCTTGTAATAATGATACTTGATGCATTCTACTTGCTAAAAAAAGAAAATTAAATGAGACCATGAATTGGCAGAAGCTAGTACGGACGATTAATCATCCTTAATCATTACTAAAGTGTCGTCAAACATCTTTTCCTAACTAACAAACATAAATTTCGATGCAGTGCTCTGGAACCTTCTTCTCTTAACCGTGCTGTATATCCATCGCTGTCTTCGTACGACACTCCGGACAAACAAGCATACCCTCGCCATTCCTTGAGCCGCGCTGCACTTATAACAAGTGGCAGCCCAATATTTCTCCTCGACGCTTTCACACATCTCATCGTGTTTTATTCTTCTACAGCCGGTGCTACAATGCCATTCCCTCCACCCCAGGACTGTAAGTGATGTTTGTGCTCTAAAAAAATCGAGGAAAAATTCGTGATTTTTATGTATGCTTACTGCTTACTCATAAATAATCGTACACGTGTTCTTATAAAAAAAACAGGCCTTTTGAGAAGCACCATTAACAAACTGAAGCAAGAGAGGATTATTACTCCCAAGCTTATTTTTATCAGGGGAGGTATAGATGATGCCACAGCGTTCGAGAACTACCTTATAGAGGAACAGGATGTCGAGGGAAGTGGCTTCACAAGTGTCATGGGCTTTGTCTCCTTCCTCGACGAAATCAATCATGATGTAGTAGAGTACATGACTAAATCAAACGGTAAATAGTCCTACAGAAAGAATAATTGTACACATGCATCAAAGGAGTTACTGGCTTTAATCGGAACACCATCCAGCTAATTATAGACACAGACAGGGGTTGTGTTTAGTACCATGAAATAGACGCTGAATCTTCGTTTCTTTGGGGAATCTTTGATTCGGAATTTTTACAATACATTGAAGATTTGTGCAAGTGTTGGGATATGCTTCTCGTGATGTAACCTTACCTTTGCCCTTACGGAGGCGGAAATTAGAGTGTGGGACTTGGTTGTTTGGTTTAGGATGTATACTATATTCCAGTTTTGAACATTTTCTTTTCATTTCTTTGTATCTGTACTATGTATCATCAGGCACTATTGATCTTGCAACTTGGCTGCGCTTTTTTCGCGGTAATTATTCGATTTTCGACCTCTTATGCTCTGTTATCGTGATTCGAAAATTGGTCCTAGTTTCGAATTATGGTTACTTCTTACTTTGTTCGATTTTCTTATATTATTAACATACTCAAAATCGGGTATTAAATGTGATTTTTCAACAACGTCGTTGATTTTCGAATGAGATTTTACTCTAGTTGCCTAATTGAGGGGTCATGGTTCTTCAAATTCTTGGGTTTGAACCCCATAATATTTTAATTTTTTTTTTTTTTTTATAAATTTAAATAAATGGAGAATAAAATATAAAGTAATTCTTTTATTTCGAAAATGTTGTTAAAATTCAAAGAAAGCCCAAAAGCAATTGACAATATACAATGGGCTCTAGAGGCTACTGAATTGGGCCTCGGCCCAGAACTAATCCCAGTTTCCTAATTGCATTTTTTTTATATTATTATTATTATTATTATTATATTTTATTTTTTAATTTTAATTTTGATATTCCTCATTTCCCATTTTTCTCTAATAAAAGGACACATTCAGTACACTCCATCCCCAAACGCAAAACCCATCAAATTTCATCACTCTCTCTTTCTCTCTCTCTGGTTTTCAGGTAACGACGACTCAGTTCTAGATCTTCTTCGTTTGTATACATGAAAATGCTTACGTTTCCGTCTCATCTATGCGATAATTTGTTTCCTATGAACAGCTGAGTTCGTCCGAGTTCTAATTTCATTTTTTTTCTGGATATTATCATTCGATTTCTCCTCAGTGTTTCTGCTAGTGACGTTATCGTTTATGCTTACTGTTTTTTGTTTTTATTTTCGGGCGATCCTAGCATATTGTTCTTCCTGGATCCTATTTTGCCTTTATTATTTTATCTGTTTTGTTTTGAGTTTTTTAATCCATATCACGTTTTTTCACGCATTTTGGATATTTTGTAATTCTTCGGCCTTCTGATTTTTTTTTTTTCTTCTTCTCCGAAATGTGTTTTTCAACTTCGTTTCTGCGCTCGGTTTAATTAATCTATTGTGACCTGGGATATGATATTTTTGTTAGTTGATCAAGTTTTATATTCTTTGGTATTATGATTATTTGCATCAATCGATATGCTAGACTTCACTGTTTTCAACCATGAGGATTCTGTCTACACTTTTATTTTTTATATATATATATTATTTGGATTTTTATTATTGTTTTTGAAGATGTGAGATTACATTTTGAGCTCAGATTTACAGTTTAATGTGTTGCAGGGATGGCTGATTTTGCTAGTATAAGTTGTTTTTAATGAACTATGTTGGAATTGCTCTTGGAATTCATAAATGTCTAATGGCATTGGGCATGTATAATTAAAATGCATTAGAAACAATTGAGTCTATATCCATTTTTGTCGTTGTCAAGTACTTGTGACTGTCATGAGTTTGACTCTTTTGTTCCTATCCACGGATCTATTGGAAATTAAATCTAATATTTATCAAGCTATTACTGGAGAATTTACATTGTCTGTAATGACTGACTGAGAAACAAATTTTCTCATCTTGCATACGAAATAGTATATACTTGCATGGTCTCCTATTCCCTGTTTTGTAGGCTGGTCGTTTGCATGATGATGATGATGATGATAAAACTTTTCGTATAATGGAAGATGAACTATATTACACATTTCTCTTGATTTATGAATTGTATGTTACCGTCAATCTTGCCTCCTTTTGAAGCTTCCTTGCAGTTCGTCTAACTGAATGGTGTTTACAATGAGTCAATTGCGAATAATATGCAATATTATTGAGCTACTGCAGTTTACGCCTTATAGATAATAAACAAATTTCGCTTGTTTATTTAATAAGACACGGTAACTGTACTTATTGCTGTAGATGAAGGACCATGTGTTTGGAAGAATAAAGTGAACTGAACTAAATTTATCCGTGTTTGATGATTAGAGAGCTGTTACTGTTTTACATATCCTTTCGTGCATGTAATTATAGTCAAGCTAGATGGTTGTTTATTTTAGAAACCTGTGCTCCTTGGTAATAGACTAGTTAGCTGAGATAGTACTGTAGTTAATATTACCATGAATAAACCTATTATATTGAATGCACTGACATAAACTCCATATTGTTGACAGGAAAAGCTAGGGTTTCCATGGCGACTAGGATTGCTGCTCGATATGTTTCTCGCAGGCTCTCAAGCAATGGCAAAGTCCTCGGCGAGGAGGAGAAGGCTGCAGAAAACATCTATATCAAGGTAAATTCTTAATTTCGGCCCAATATGTATGTAAGTTTAGCTGAAAATACTCTATTCTTACGCCTTCTCTCCCTTTTTTGAACAAGAACACAGAACTTTATTAAATCACCTTTGAAGCTTGATATTTCTTAACCTGCATCTTCCGTTTAGTGTTGCCTGAAAGTATTATCAGGAATTCATGAACATACAATCTTAATAGGGTGGCTATTTTGATTTAGTGGGATACTAGCAATCATCATCATCATCATCACATAGATGAGCAGATATTCATTTGATATTAGTCAGATATATTTTGTCATTTTGAAATTGATTGATTGAAACAAAATGTAACTGTACCTTGAAAATGGAGATAATGATACTGAATGAGTGATCCTTATGCTTTTAAACTTTACAATCAACTTAACAATTTCCATAAAGTTGTTCTCAAACCTTCTAACTTCGAACACTATGATTGTTTTAAATTTTACTTGAACTGTTCTATGGTGGTGTTTATATTTTCTGTAAATTTCGAAAATACATGCACTAATGAAGCGTTTATTTTCAAAATAGATTACTAATTTTTAATAATGCATTGTGAGGTTTATAAACTGTGGTAATATCAACAATTCATCATGCCAAAGTGAAAGCATATGCACGTGATCAGTGTGATGATTCTCCTAAGTGTCAATATGCAACTTCTTGCTACAGAACTAAATTATATATTACATGCTCACATGACTCAAATGAAGGTACAATCGAAATCTAATTTTTATCTTGTCTCTTGTTAATTATCATGAAAAACATATGACCTCCCTCTTCGTGGATGTGCGTCAAATCTATCAGACAAGAATACCGATGCTTACTTTAGTTTATTGCTTAAGATGCATGCTTCATCACAAGTTTATGAATATGCCTATTGACTCTTAAGCTAAACCTTTTGAAAAATGTGGCAGAAAAAGGAACAAGAGAAGTTGGAGAAGCTTGCTCGTAAGGTATGCATATGTTGTATAACCCATGATCTATATTATGCAAAACGCAACTAAATTTGATTCAATGAGAACATTTTTGTTTGTGGTTGTCTATTTTTTTGTCTTTAATATATTCTAACTCGAAGTAATTCTTAATGATTTGGTTTGTTCAAGGGCCCAATCCCAGAAGAAACTCATGCAACAAGCTCAGGAGCTGTAGGTGATGCTAAACCGAGTGCTCAGGCCTCGTCAGACCCCAAAGTGTCGACTGATAAGAACAGAAACTATGCTGTCATAGCTGGAATCGCTACTATTGCTGCTGCAGCTGGATGGTACTGGCGTGCAACCAAGACAAAGCCCGAAGAAGTGCAGGATTGAGATTCAAATTTCCAAGAATTAATCTTCGCTTTTAATAAAACCAAACACAATCCTTGAAATCCATGTTTTGTTATGTTTGCGTTTTGTTCCGTTCGACAATGTCTTGTTACTATAATCTGTGGTTGTCTCACGAGTACTGAAACGTGAGTTTTTGGCACAAGCGCGTTTGGCGATTCTGTTGGGGGTAAATGAGATGACAACGTTTTTTCGTTGCTATTAATCGATCCTAGTTACGGTTGTAATTCTATAGTTTTCTATTGCACAGGTCTGAGCAGGTGAAGAAAGTATGCAGTATGGATTCTAAAACTGTAGTGGTTGGTTTTAGTTATTTTTCTGGATCCGGATCCATCAGTGACTTAAGTGGGTCGGGTCTGCCCGTTAACATATTATATTTGTTTTAGGGCAAAAATGGGCAGCTTATTAGAAAAACTACATTTTACTATATGTGCTTAAATGAGCTCTCGACCGAGAGCTTATTAACTGAAACGTGGTTTGTTAGAGCGGCAAACCAATTCGGTAGTTTCGATCGACGAACTTGTAGGCAAAAAAGAAAAAAAAATGAGTTGTTTATACACAATAATTTATGGGTTGGGGCCTGGGGGGGTTCATGTAGTACATTTTCTATGAAGTATTATCTAATGCAATTGGCATTTAATTATTGGACTCTACACCTAAGTAACAGCACAACCTAAATTATTAGAACCTAATCTCTATTTCATTTATGATGTTACTATCAGTCAAGTATTTATCAGATTTACACCGTTTATCAGATTTGGAGTGCTCGCAACCGGAAAATTTTTGAGAACGAGACGCCTAGGATTGCTGAGATGGTGCGTAAGATCAAGATACTCGTTTACAAGACGGTTTTTGCCTTGTTTCCGCAATCAGCGTTGCAAATCGTGCATCCCTGATTGTTTTTTGATCTTTGTTTTGCATTTGACCTGTGGGGTCTTGTTCATGTATAGGCATTGATATATATTTTTTTGATTACACTACCTGGGTATGCCCAGTGTATTTGTAAAGTCCGTTTTGATCTATATATTTCACATTTACCGATCAAAAAAAAAAAAAAGTATTTATTTTGTTCTCTAATTATTTTAGAGAGAGATGTCGTGTTGACGGCGGTTGAATGAGCGCTACAGACATAGTTAAGTTTGATTGGGTTCACTTCCATTTTTATCGAATTTTCAATAAATCCAAATTGGATCTAGTTTCTAATAGCTGTCAACTTAGTTTCATCCAGATTATTTCTAAGTAGATTTAATTCAAACCGGATCCACATAAATCGAACCGAATCTGATCAGATCCACATCAATTATCCGGTGAATTTGGATTCAATTGCGTCATTTAAAATATAAAAATAATAATAAAAAAAAAAAAAGTGTCTACCCGAAACACCATAAACCATTAGCAACAAACAGTTCACAAGGACCACAGCATTATTTACAACCTTACCCTCATTTATTTAATCATTTCACTTCTTCTTCTTCTTCAAAAATTAATTAATTAAAAAAAAAAAAAAAAAAGAATATGCAGCAGGAGAAGACAAACCAGAAGCAGCACAAAGTATAACTGAATTAAATAAATGGTTTCATGATTCTCACGTCTTCTGCTCTTTGCCATTACTTCAAACCAACTCCACTCTCTCTCTCTCTCTCTTCTCTCTCTCTCTCTCCTCCACATCGCCATTCAAACCAAACCCCATTTTTTTTTGTTTAATCTCAATTCCATTATCTAATCTCACAGTTTCTTTAAATAAGATACTGGAACCCCACACATTTTGTTGTTGATTCGTTCAATAGATGACAGAGGTGCTCCACTCACCGCCATCGTCATCTTCTCCCCCTTCAAGTCCCGCACCCACCACCCACCACAATCCCACATTGTTCCACCACCAGACTCAGCTGTATCCGGCGGACGGCGGCGATGCGGGTATTTTTGCGATGAGTGACGCAGAGGAGGAGGAGGAGAATGGAGTGAGAAGGGAGAGTGATAATAGCGACGGGAGAGATCAGTTATCTCTTTTGGCGATTCTGTTCACTCTGTTTAGGAAGAGCTTTTGGGCTGTTTGCAAGACGGGTGCTGGCGATTTCTCCGGCGGCGGCGGTGGTGGTGATAAATGCAGTGAGGGGGGTATGGAGATCAGCTGGCCTAGTGATGTGCAGCATGTTAATCACGTGACTTTTGATAGGTTTCATGGCTTCTTGGGCTTGCCTGTTGAGTTTGAGCCTGATGTTCCCAGGAGGGCTCCTAGTGCTAGGTATATACATATTCTTCTCTCTGAATTCTTCTTGATTTTTTTTTATTATTATTTTTTCTATGGGTTTCGGTTCTTGCATCTTTAATTTGTGTTTCATTTATGGTAATTTCTGTAGAGGAATTATGAACTGGATTATGTTTGGTTTTCTGCTGGATTTCCGTGATTGTTGGATTGTGTCGTTATAGCATATTGTACGGAAATGATTTTAAACCTGTGCTACGATAATATTAGTGAAGAATGAAAGATTAATCTCGTTATCAGCTAGGACTTTGGGGATTGGATTGTTTGCTCAACCATTTGTACGTTTGTGTATTTTCGAGTTCGGTTGATTTCTCGAACAATTTGGTGTATTCTGTTTCGAATGTGTTCTTCTTGCTTTTTTTGTCGTTTGCGATCCTTGTTGTGAATCTGATATGATCTGTGTGAAATGACTTAATCAGACTGAAAATCGAAATTCTGGAAGTGGTCCCTTGTTTTAATCAATTCGAAGCCACCTGTTATTGTGATTGTAGAATTGTACGCATCTTAATAAATATCATTGGTTTGTAGGAATTATACGAGTGGTTACGTATGCAAGTGTATCCAATTGGCTTCGGAGTATCATATACCGAGTTACTGTTGTTGGATCTTGACATTTAGCTTCTTAAATATTTTTCCATGAATAGTTAGTAATTAAATAGCATGTGTCATGTGTGATATTTGTAGTCATTCGATTATTTGTTCTTCTCCACTGTACTGTAACAGTGATGATATGTGCTTTTTCCTTTCTAATGTTGATTCATTTACAAGTATGTCTCCTAAAATGAAAGTATTTTAATACTCAAATCGACATGATTCTTCATATAAGATCATGAATTTTCCATTTTCAGTTGAGAAAAGATATTAGCGGCCATTTCCATTTAGGATTTATTACCTTATGTTATTCAAGAATAAGATTCCGACTTCGCAGATGCTTTAATTTTGTCTCTTTCTAAAAGAGGAAATACTGAATATTATTACTTGGACAATTTCCCTCGATTCTTCGTAAAACTTAAAATCTATCATATGAATGCATTTAAAGTTGTTTCTGTAAATGCCAATTATTTTTTCTGGGCAAATTAGCTAGATATGGATGGCTGCTGCTCAGTGCTTACAAATTAAAACTTCGAAGCATGTGTGAATTGTGATGATTATAACGCATATTTCCACCCACTCAAGCATAAATTCGCTCGAAGATGCTCTTAGAATATTTCTAGTATTAGATTGTATTGAAACCTTAAAAGGTGGTTATATCTGTTAAAACTCTTCTAATCTAAGACAAGGTATTTGCTGGTAAGATGCTTATCGACTATAAAAGCTTTGAGTCCAATTGGATAACCAATAGATGAAAGTGCCATTTTAGTAATTTATGTAATATTTTCAGTCTGGTTGTTAGATTTGAAAATTTTCTTGTATCTCTACCGTATTTCTTTCAGTCTTGTTCTAAACATTATCTTGTTCACTGCAGTTTTTCCCTTTTTAGATCCCGATCAGATCAAAATGATCGATGTATTATAGGCGACATATAGTTAAGAAATTGAATGTAATTTAGTCCCTTGACGGTGGTAACAATCTGCATGCCTAAGTTTATGTTTGCATGATTATGTTGCTGCTTCATATAATAGAAGCGATGTTTTCTCTAGCTGTGCCGAAGATATCAGCAAACATTTACTTATGATTACTTTTTTTGAATTATTATATGCATTAAGTTATGTCCACTTCGTTAAAATTAAACTCCTTCCTTACTGAACTTGTGCTATGCTATCCATGCACAGTACCACTGTTTTTGGAGTCTCTACAGAATCGATGCAGATGTGTTACGATCACAGAGGCAATAGTATTCCAACTATCCTTCTGCTTATGCAAAGGCATTTGTATTCTCAAGGTGGCCTTCAGGTACGTAACTGTAATAATATACACAAAATATCCGAAATATTAATTCACGTAGCGATGAAAATGGGGGTTTTCGTATATATGCAGGCTGAAGGGATTTTCAGGATAGCTGCTGGCAATAGCCAAGAGGAATTTGTTAGAGACCAATTAAACAGAGGTGTTATTCCACAAGGAATCGACGTACACTGTTTGGCTGGCCTGATTAAGGTAACTTATAACGAGGTTCTCTCTTGAAGTATTTACGGTGATCTATTATTTTAGTATTTATCTTGCTCGTGAGAATATTAATTTGGTATGCGACATATATAGGCTTGGTTCAGAGAACTCCCGAATGGAGTTCTTGATTCTCTCTCGCCCGAGCAGGTGATGCAATGCCAGTCAGAAGAGGACAGCACTGCACTCGTAAGGCTTCTACCCCCAACCGAATCTGCACTGTTGGATTGGGCAATCAATCTAATGGCTGACGTTGTCCAAGAGGAACATCTCAATAAGATGAACGCACGCAATATTGCCATGGTCTTTGCACCTAATATGACACAGGTAACTCCCCCAATTAGACCTCGTTTGGTTCATAAGATAAGATTAATCAAGATAAGATTAAACAATCTAATAAAATAAAAACCGGATTGTATTATATTTGACATGATTGAGGCCATGATAAAATAAAATTTCCGGGTCGACTCGGATATGTTTTGGGTTTACCAAACACCAAACAAAGTCCAGTTATTTAAAAGCTCCCTAAAAGGCAAGAGAAGCCATAATAACATAATATTTCCGGGTCGACCCGGGAAGTTCTTGGGTGTACCAAACATCAAACAAAGTCAAGCTATTTAATTAGTCATAGCTAATCTCCCCAACCAAACAAAGTCTTGTTTTAAATCTATTAATTGATGTATGGTCTGTTTTACAGATGGATGATCCGTTGACTGCATTGATGTACGCAGTGCAAGTGATGAATTTCCTCAAGACTCTCGTAGAGAAGGTTCTACAAGAAAGAGAAGATTCTGTTATCGAACCAACAACTTTACTTCCACACACGGAACCTTCTGATGACAATGGAAATCAGACTTCTTCTTCGCGGTTGGACAAGGATGAACCAAATGAAGAGATAATACAGGATTTTCTCTCGGATGATCCTGGTTCGGATACTGGTTTGGATACCGGTTCGGTTACTAGCCAAGCTGATGAAATCACTGATGAGGATTATCCTAGTTATTCAACTTACACGGAAGAATCCGATGGAAGTGGTTCTTGTAAAACTCCTTGTCGGGTCTATAAAGAAGTTTACAGTACGAAGAAAACTGGAGTAGTAATGAATCATCCGTTTATTGAAGAGAATGTAAGGAGCAAAACAGGGCAATCGAGTGATTCTAACCACACAAAATCGGGATTGAAGATTAAAGATATTGATAGCCAGAAGAGTGCCGATTTAGCTGTTGTGAAGATTGATAACAAGAACAAGGGAGCTGCTAGCAACTTGAGCCGTGTAAATTCAATGACAGAACGGTTTGAAACTTGGTGGTGAACAAAAGGTCCATTACCGATTTTTTTTTTTAATTTTTTTTTTAACATTTAATAACTGATTTTGTTGTGTATTTAACGCCCCGTTTGATCATGTATGGAGTGAAACTAGTTACTAATCGTGTGTGAAGGTTGCTTCTTTTAATCGTGGTAGGTTCGATGAATGTAGTGTTGTGAGAGAAAAACTCGGTTCGTTGAATGCTAAGATGTGGTTTGCGTAAGTACGATTTTTATCCTTCATTACGTCTATGAAATATATGAATTCTATGATGATGTAAAAGTTCAGCGGATGGAATTTCCGATACGGAATATCCAGTCACGGTGACTGAAGGCATAGATTACATTGAACCACTATAGCGAGAGCTTGTGGCTCATAAACTTTTTCGACATTCTTTATTTTTGTAGGTTTATTACTTTATGCCACTTTAGTATACATTCTTGAATTGAAAGATAGAATCCATCGTTTTCTTACAACTTATCGAAGAACAATGCTTTGTATCCGATAAAAGAACGGAAACAATATACGAATTTATTGTAGCTTTTGTCAAGCCTATACTTGTGAATATGAATATGTTGAAACCTATATATACATAATACATGTACACACACACATATGTGTGTGTGTGTGTGTGGAATCTGTGACCACTAAATTGAAAAAAGGTCCACACTTAAAGCATCCACCCACCCTTAATAAAAAGTAGGCACCCCCTTAAAAGTAGCAACCCCAATAAATAGTTCCAATCTTATTGGACTTTATCAACAAATTTCATGCCCTTCCCGTGTATCTATTATGTATCTCTCTCTCTCTCTCTCTCTCTCTACCCTTAGAACAGATTAGTATTTTGTTCATATAATTTGATTTTGAACAAAAAAAAAAAAAAAACAAAGAGAGAGAAAATAATGGCAGCCTGTGGTGGGCTAGAACACATATTTGAGAAGCCATTGCCAGAAACTCCAACACTAATTGAATCTCTCTCACCATGGAAACAAATAAAATCCATGAAAACAATAGACCATACCTCCTTCACCGAATTATTCGGCGAGTTACATTTCAAAGAGAGCCACGATCTTCTCCTTAATCATAATCACGACCCCCCTCCTCAATCGCCACCGCCCATCGAAAAAAATCACGAGAAAAACGGCGAAATCTATTCCCCTTACAACCATGGCCAGAAAAAGCAGTACAGGCACGGCCACAGCGAGAGCTTCTCTTCGATGAATTCCGAGAGCCTGTCGTTGTGCACGGAGGGGCTAGGGTTCGAGAGTTTTGATGACGCGGATGATTTATTAGTATTGAAGAATAATTATAATGATGGTGACGATGATGATGATGATGTCATTATTAATAGTGGTGGTGGTAATAACATTGACGAGGAGACGAGTTTTACGAGAAATATACATCATGCGGAAAATAATGACGAACATCATGATATTTTTCGTTATAGGAAATCGAGGAGTAGTAGCGTAGGGGAGATTAGGGAATTTCCGCCCCCGATTTCTTGTGTAGGGAGGAGTGGGAAGCCGTGGACGTGTATTATATCCTTCCGAGAAGATGGGAGGTTTATTCTTAAGGAAGTAAAGATTCCTACTCAAGAATTCTTGCATGCATGCCGTGAAAATGGACGTCTTAAAATGCAGTTTGTTCACTCGGACGACGAGTTTGTTGATGAAGATGGTGACGGAGAAAATGGAGTAATCGACAATAACAACGGAGGAGATATATAGTAGGAACAAATTTCCGTATTTCCTTTTTTCTCAAAAAAAAATTAAAAAATAAATAATTCACTTTTCCTTTTCTCGGGTTCTTGTTTCTTATTTCCTCAGCAAGTATGCAAATAAAAGGCTGTGGAGAAGGTGATAAATGCTATTAGGGTTTTTTATTTTAATTTTCGGATTTTCTTTTTCGGTTTGCTTTTGTGGTTTATATGTGTACTGGGGCTAAAAAAAAATTCTGTAGTGAATCCTACTGCAGAAAACTGTACAGCCTTTTCCTTCTTACTTCTTTTGTCTACAGTTTCAGTTATACTAGTTTCATCTTCAGATTACTGTAACATTTGTATGTGTATGTGTATACATATGTGTGTATATATATGACTTTCTGGATTGTCAGTATACCTGTATCTATTGCCTCTTGGTTTATTATACCTCTGTTAATCTTGGAGAAATTGGCACAGATATGTCAAACTAGAAAGTGAGAGTGGATATTAGGTTAATATGGCAATAAATTACGTCTGAAAAATACTAATTCCAAGAAACATATCCCAAAAGTTACGATAACTGCGAAAAGATGGAATCTTGCACATTCTTACAAAAGGTAGAAAAAAAATACAACGAACGGAAGGGTTTTACATGATTCAGTTAGCATTGCTCACAGACTCATCGGATGAGTCTTGGGGACATTTTTTTACCTTCGATTCCGACAAATGAACCATGTAATTTATTATTCAAACAAGTAAATAAATTATCCTTCTTAAGGCCTGCATGTGTGGTGATATCAAGAAGAAATGTTGCTGCCGTCTAACGTCAAAAGCACCTTGTATAAATCTGGGCGTCGATCACGGAACAAACCCCAGCTGCTTCTCTTGGATTTGATGTTGTCCAGATCAAATTGACCAATAAGAATCGTTTCATCTTTATCATTAGCATCAGCGACCAATTCTCCCGTGGGTCCTACATGTTCAAACTCCTTTCCAGTAATAAACCGTAAAAGGTAAAACAGATAATTTTTATTGGAAAAGAACAATTTTATCTAATTTTGCAAAAAGGGCTCACCTGCTATAAACGAATTCCCGTAGAATGTGATCTCGCTTTTGCCATGTTCTGTCTCTATTATCTCCTTACCAATTCGGTTCGAAGCTACTAAAGGTACCTGAATGTACAAAGGGCTTATCGGTCATTCGGCAAAGCAAAAACTACCCAAAATTACACTGTGATTGTAGTATAAGAAAATTAAAAAATAAAAATAAATAAAAAGCGCCAAAGCCCAAAAGAAAGCAAAAAGACTTTATTGTCTTAATACTAATAGAGAATGCATACAAATTATTAACCAGATTAATAACTCACCAAATTAGCTCCGGCGTGGCCTTGCATCACCCTTTTCCAGTGATCACGAGAATCTAGGCCCTGATCTTGAGGTTCAGAACCAATAGCAGTGGGGTAGAATAATATTTCCGCACCTTGAAGTACCATCGCTCGAGCTGCCTCAGGAAACCACTGATCCCAGCAAATAGCTGGTCAAGAAGTAACAAGGAGTAATCTTCAGCTTACAACGAGAAGTAATACGCTACTTTGTTAATCTGTTACTAGTGTTGCAATGAACCCCAAACGATAAAAAATAAAGAATATTGGATCTCTCTGTTGCTATTTTTGGTACCTTCGAGCATTCAATGAACAATAATAATAAAGGTAGACGTAAATGCATCTTACCTACTCCAATTTTGGCGAATTTAGTTTGGAAGACCTGTTAGCATCACCAAAATTGTGAAACAATCAGAAAGGATGATGCAACAACAGAGTATTAAATTCGATGAAGAAAGAGGATATAACTGGTCGATTTACTGGTCCTAACCTTAAAACCAGTATCGCCTGGATTGAAATAAAACTTCTCCTGGTAGCCTGAGGATGACAAAATCAGCTGTATTATATATAAACCTTATTGCGAAGAAAAAAAAACATAGTATATGCATATAATCGAAGTTGACAAACCAGGCCCGTCTGGGATGTGGGATTTCCTGTAAAGTCCAAGATCAGTTCCATCAGCATCAATTACGACAATTGAATTATAATGCGCATTGTTTGCCTCCTCGAAAAAGCTAACTGGTATCACCACTCCCAACTCTTTTGCCAGATTTTGCATCCTGAATGCACAACTTTAGTTACAAAGACTACTACCAAAAATTAAAGATTAACTAATTAAAGGGCTTTCGATAAAAACTAGAGCATTCAAAGCAAAGCAAAGCCAACGAACTAGATCCTAAGCAGAATATTCATACCTTAGAATTGTGGGGTGCTCCTTACGAGGTTTAGCTCGCTGAAAGAAATCTTCCCTTTGTGCTTGACAAAAGTAATAACCCTCAAATAATTCCTGAAACAGACATGTAGATAATGTATGTGAATGAACGATGTAGTGCACATATTGTGAGTAAATGATAGACAAAGTTAAAGGCGGCCTCTTTTTCAATCCTTCCAGACGGTAAGAAAATTGGCTCACAAACCTGAATAAGAATGATATTTGCGCCCTTCTGATGAGCTGCTCTAACCAACCTGCGTTTAGAACAATTATAAATGACAAATGTGACACGATATGAAAACGATACAAATTTAAAATGTGAACAAATAATATTTCAACTAAACACAAGCCGCAAATTGATAACACTGTCTAGATCGTATTCTTCTACATCTCAATGTTGGCTCCTTTAAGGTTCAGAGTGCAGGCTGGTATTCAAACAAGTAACCTAATAAATAAGCTGAACAATAACTTTCGTTGTCCATCTTTTTTCTTCGAGAATTAAATCACAGAAGAGTATGATCTACAAATACACCTAGAAGATGAGAACGGAAATACAATTAAATTAGGGCAAACGATTTGAGCCTTTCGAGTTTAATTTAAACTAACATGAAATTAGAAGACCTACACAAGAGTGTTTGCAAGATTGAGTTGATTTTGGATCAATTAATTACAACTTATTACCCAAAAATAAAATCTTCGAAAAAATAAAATATAATAGCTCAAACCCTAGTAGAAGAAGCTTGTACACAGAGTTCCAACTAATCAGTATCCCCAAAATCGTAAACTTCACTACAAAATTCACAAATTCACATTTTTTAGGTTAAAATTTACATCGCGATATGCGAATTACTACTACAAATTAATTGAAACACGGCGGCTGTTTGAACCACAAAAACCAATATCGGGAACCGGAAAATAGAAAAGGTTTTAATTCCTGTAAAATGGATTTTTTTACCTTTCCGCCGTCTCGACATTGGTTGAGACGTCGTCGGAGCAGGCGAATTGCAGGGCGGAGACGGTGACTGTTCTGCTTTTCGCCATTTTCGCCTCTAATTTCTGCCGGTGGTCAACGAACAAGTCAACACTCCACACAAGTAAAAGCTCCTGATTTTATTTATTTATTGATGGTTCAAAAATATTTCTCTATAAAATAATAAGGTTATATTACATTCTACCCCCTGAACTACACCATTTGTAGCACTTGCCCACAAAAAATATCATTTATAACACTTACCCCTCAAGCACCATTTAATTAGTATTTTAAATTCTAATATCTTAAAATTTTCTCTCTTATTGGATGGAATAACTATAAAGAATAATTATATTATATTCTTACAAATATAAATTAAGAAATACAATATTTTAAAATTTAAAAATAATATGCTGCTTTGGGTACATATTTAGAGCATCTCCGACTGATTTCACCATTTTTTCACCAAATTCCATTTTTTGTGGTGAGAAAATGGGTTCATCTCCCACCGGTAGCACAGCATTTTACCCCTCCACCATTTTTGGTGGACAAATAATGTTTTTGGTCTCCAATGGGTTTCACCAGAATTTAGACCAAATATTAAAATAATAATATTTCACCATTTCACCACTTATAGGAAATGGGATTTGGTTTGGTCTCCCATGGCAGCTCACCGTATAGGCCCCAAAATTATAAATATAATGTTAATCGTAATTTTATTATATTTTATTTCATAAATATTAATTTTAGATCCAATGTTAAGTAATAATTTTTTTAAGTATATAATTTAAAAGTTATGTTATCAATTTTAAAAATTATGTTTTCAATTTAAATGTCTCGTCCTGTATTTCATCAATTAAAGTGTATTTTATTAATTATTCTATTGTTGCTTATTATATTTTATTAATAGCAATTAGTGTATTAGTTAAGTAAAGAAATGAACTAATAAACATTGATACCAACAAAATATACAAATTAATTAAAAATAAGCGTATTTATATTATTAGAATTAATGTTTTGTTAATAATAACAAATGTATTTATATTTTAAAAACTACTTTAATAATTAATACCTATGTATTTACGATAAATATGCTAATAAGTTGGTAATCGGGTGTAATTAGTTAAAATCGTCATTTTATATGGTACTTAATAAAATGGTTTTAATTACGGCAAATCATATTTTCACCTCTATATTTGGTAGGAAAAATAGGATTTGGTGGAAAAAAATAGGAAAATGGTGGACCGATGGGAGATGAAAATTCTTTAACCAAAAAATTTGGTGGAGAAATAGGATTTGAGTATTTAGTGATATGGGGGTTAACCACGGTGGGAGGCTAAAACCAAATCTCTATAATTTTAGGTGTAATGGTGATATAGGAATTTCGGGTGGGAGGCTAAAAACACCTAAATTAAATGAAAAAATGCCGTTATGGCGTCCGGTCAGAGATGCCCTTAAGAACATTAAATTATAATTGTTGTTGGCCTGATTTTTTTTCAAAAAAAAAACTAAGAGTTAAGTTATTGAACAGAAAGAATAGTAAATCGATGAACAGTATATATACTACAACTAAAAAAACATTCAAAAATCAATGATGTCCAAATAACTAAGTATTCTTATTTTTGCATCACTAATTTTATAGGGACAGAATACTTTCGGTTCCAATAGGGTGTGTTCGGGCAGCAGACAAGATGGTTTGGCGGTTCACTCCTCATGGCAGATTCACTGTTAATTCATGCTATCGGCTATCTTGCAGAGTGCTGGGACTGGGAATCGACATGGCCAAGCATCAAATGGCATTGATTCGACCTTTTGGAAGACTGTGTGGGCACTTAAAATTCCACAAAAAAATCGGATATTTATTTGGAGAGGGATCTTGAATATTCTCCCGACAAAGGTTGAATTGTTCCGACGAAAAGTTGCCACCTCCCTGTTCTGCCATCAGTGCGGGGTCACTGAGTCTATTTTGCATGTTACTTCGGAATGCCGAAACATGGGTTCTATTTGGCAGCAACAACCATTCGAAGGAATATTCTTGCATAACTACCTTAACTTTGAGTCATGGTTTGCATATATATCTCAAACTCTTCATGCAGATTTCTTGTCCTTAGCATCGATCATGATGTGGAAAGCTTGGGAGATTCGCAACTGTGAAGTGCATGGCGAAAGTACTATTGGCGCAGACGATATTATTCATTGGAATGCAGATTATCTTTCTTGCTTCAACCGGGCGACGAAGATGCCGGCGGGCATTGGCCATAAATCTGAATACCCCTCTACATGGTTACCCCGACTCATGGTATAATTAAGATCAATTTTGATACAACTTTCTCAGTGGACAGAGACTTCTTCATTACATCTATGATCGCAAGAGATTGGCGAGGGAAGTGCATATGGTGGTGTGTTGAAAAAATTTTAGGTAGGCCGAAATCAATCGACGGGGAAGCCAAAGCTGCTCTACAAGCTATTCGAAAGGCTAGAGAAGTGGGTTGGAATTTCGTTATGATAGAGGGAGACAATCTACGTATTATCGAGGCCTTGAAGGGTGGAGAATCAAACTCAGCATCTTACGGCGCTCTCATTGAAGATTGCATGGACATTGCTCGCTCTTTTGACTATATCTCATTTTCTTTTATTAAACGTTGCGGCAATAGTCTAGCTAATGCTATTGCTAAGTTTCATGAATCTTCTTGTACAGAAGGGTTCACCCTTCCTCCATCATTGGCTGCTCATGCCTAATAATACTTTCGTTTTTCTCAACAAAAAAAAAAATTATAAAATATCAATGCAATATATTTATAATAAATTTAAGAAATCAATGCATAATTAATCGTAATCCTAAGGTCTTAAAATATAAGATACAAAATAATTGGCGTTAAGCGATGTTAACATTGTAATTGATATTTTAAGAGGGTTAGTGTTATATAAGCTATACTTTATAGGCTCAAAGTGTATTTAAACCAAAATAAATATTATACCCTTTATTTGGTCTAATCATGATTTGGGCTTGCTTTTAAACATATATTACTCAAATATTTGACCAATCTTAATTATTGTATTGTGTGTTTCAAGCCCAATCAGATTCATAAAAGCCATATTATATAATAAACAATAAAAGGGTGAAGCAAAAAAAAGAAAACACAAAGTATGTAAATGATTATGCAAATATTTCCCCTGATTTTGGGAATTTAATTCGACTATATATATTTATTTTTATATATAAATATGTGTGTGTTAGATGAAAATTTACATAGAGAAAGAAGTAAAATGGCAAAGCTAAATGCATTCTCATTATTGTTTTTGCTGTTGCTATGTGTTGGCATCTGCAAGGTTACATACATGACTTAATTAAATAGATTTAATACTTCTTCACGAATATTACTTAACAAAAAAGAAAAAAAAATGTATGAAATTAAATAATAATAATATTTTTTTTATTTTTTTTGAATTGATTGGTGCAGGGAGATTGGTGTGTGGTGAAATTTACGGCATCAGATGCGGCAATGCAGAGTTTTATAGACACGGCTTGCTCGTCGGGGCTCGACTGCAGCGCAATAAAACCAGGCGGTTCTTGTTTTGATCCCAATATTTTAAGGAGCCATGCTTCTTACATGCTTGACCTTAATTATAGAAAAAATAATGTTTGCCAGCAAGACATTGGCACTATTGCTATTACTGATCCCTGTAAGTTTTCAATTTTTATTCTCTCTTTTTTCCTTTTTTTTTAAATTGAATTTTGATAAATATAATAATTTGTGCTAAAAAAATGTATAATAAATTCGTTGATTATTCTTTTTTTTTTAATTGTTTTGTGGTGCAGCTTATGGTTCATGCCACTACCCCTGAGAGACGTTGATCATCTATTTCATCACCGGAGATAAATAAATTTAGAATAAGGGTAATTAGCAGTTTGGACTAATTTAATAATAAATTTGTGCCATTTTGGGCTTATTTATATTACCGTGTATTTTATTTTATTTTTTATAAGATTTATTGCACAGAATTAAGTCAGATCTACACTACAATTATGGTTGGGTTTGGATTGAGTCTGTTGAATACCGACCTGAAAACCAATTTATTCGACAAATCAATTTTTGCTCAAATTTAAAATTCATTGCCGACCCACCCTTAATGGGTCGGATTTTGATTTCGAAATGAGTTGGTTGATAGGTATACCGTATACCGAATATCCACCACCTAGTTCACTTCAAAAAAATCCAAATTTTGGAGATAAAAGCATCCACATTTTTCCAGTGTCATTGTGCCATCATCATTTATCAGTTCAAAATAATTTATAGCAATTCTACAAACACTTCCAAATTCAAATTAATTCTAAACATGCACGTTCGCCCATAATATCACAATGTCGTAATCACTTACCAATTCATAACAATTAAAAGCAAATCAACAAAAAACTACTTCAAAGTCAAATTTCAGTCCACTGCCAATATTATTTAAAGAAGATAAAACACCCCTATTTTAGGAAATTAAAATTATATTCTAATAAAATTTAATTAATATATTTGGTTGACCAACAATTATCCGTCAACCGATCAACGTTTGATGATATTAGAAATTTTCTACCAACGAAATAATTTGTGCTGGAAATAATAAAACATGA